CGTTACGTCAACTGTGGTGGCTCAACGCTGCCGCTGATTATATTAAATTGCTCTGCTATTGAATTTTTCAATTGTGAACATACTAATAGTAAATAAGAATAGAGCGCGATATCTGATAACATACAATAATTTTTTCCCTGCGACTCGTGAGACCACCCACACACACACACGAGCAACGTTCGTCCTGTACAAGAGTTTGCGCGTGGTACAAGACGTTTAATGAAAATGAACTTCGTTCTGCAAGGTCATCAACATCAACAGATAAGCTTCTCGTAAAAAAAAAGAAAATAAAGAATTTTCAACTTACATCATTTTCAACTTAAATAATATTGCTCGAAAGTTTTGCAACACTTGTGCGCAGCAATTCACATCGAATCAGCAGATCCGAGGCAAAACAATTAACACAGAACGCTCTCTATCGATTCGATATCTATCGAATTTTATTTTATTATTATAATAAATTTGATGTATATTAATATTAATATTAATAGGAACTTCGAATTTCCCCATAATGCAGTATGTGTTCCTAATCTGAAAATTAAGATTATCACTCCCGAGATCATCATTTCGACGGAAAAAAGACAACACAAAATTCGCTACTTTTTGTTGAAGCTAAATATAAATAAATTAACGATTCGTGTTCTATCGAAAGCTCTTTAGATTGTTGCATATAAATTCACATTTTATCCGTCGAAATCCTACTAACAATATTTTCGATTACCCTGCTATACTAAGAGAAGAATTTGAACAATCTCGTACATGATAATTAATAACGAGATAATTCATAATCTCGAATAATAACGAGATTATTAGATAGTGTGACTGAGGACGACTTGTTGGAACGCGATGTAAATAGAGCGAGTAAACAATTTATCAAGAAGTTTTCAACTGTAAACTATGGACTTCTTGAAATTATTAAATCATCGTCGGTAGATGATGTGTTAAAAAAGTTGAATAATTTGAACGATACAGAAAAGAAATACCGGAATTCACGATAGCTAAAATAAATAAATAAATATTAAGTAACTTATAAGTTGCTCGTTGGCTACGAGTTATTCAATGATTGCATGAATTACAGCCACACTTCGATTGTATGAAGTGCCAGAAGAAACAAATCTAATACCTCACATTTATAAACATATTCCATGACTTTCAATTTTAGCAACACCGACGTGGTTCAGCAATTACATATTGCGATCGTTCGATCCATACAGATCTTGTAATTTCTATTATTGGATCAATCGATTCCAACAGATTATTTTCATTTTTGAAGATAATTTGTTCGTACATGCAATAATTTGTTCACTCATACATAATTTGTTCAACATCTGGTCGTTGTTGCTTGTTACTGAACGTTAGCCGACAACTATGAAAGTTCTTATGAATTTTTATGAAATGAAAAATTGACAAATTTTAATTTGTCTAACGACTGCTCTCTCAAACCAATTGCATTTTGCGAATTCCGATTAGAACGCCGTTCATTTACAGATCCTAACTAGATTTGACACGAAATTAACAAATATTGCGTCACCCATATGCATGACGTGGATAATCATCAAAAGTCTCAAAAGTAATTTCATATTTTTGTAACTGTGTGGATAAACATTTCAGTGAGCTAGGAATCCTGTAAAAATTATGTAATTATAATATCGTGAATATAATAATATAAATAGCATAAACTTAGATAGTATAGATAATAGTATAAATTTCCACTGCGAAACACATTTTATCTTATATTACGAACGAAAATAAATATTTGCAATATTGTTAAGAGCACCGCAAGAAAATTCATCACGTGACAATTCAGCGGTTTTAAATTCTTCACTTCACAATATTAATTTTGTATTCAAATTTTGTTAAGTACAGCACAAAATTAACTGATAGTAGATATTTCTTTTTTTTTATTTTATTTATAGTTTTACACTTCAACTTCCGTGCTACTTTAACTTGCTGCAATTTATTAAACGTTTTATTTTCACATTGCTTGAATGAAAATCTCTGCAACGTTTTACTCGACGTTTATCTCGCAAAAAGGACACTTCTAAAATCAAAATCGATTCTTCAACAATGAAGTTATCACGAACAGAAAAGCACAAAGATCGTGTGCACTGGCTATTAAAAATTTTCGTTCCGTATCTGGAATCGTCTGGCACTGAACTCGTCCCGCGACTCATTATCTTAACAAAAATTGACGTTTTCTGTAAAAATATAAATACGCGATCTCCGTATCTCGGTAATATCCACGCTGAAAATGAGTGTATTTAATACAGCAACGTTTCCATCGGCGTGTATTTGAATTTTTCTAAAAAAAAAACCCGTGCAATAATTTCTCGCGAAATTTGCAAATAGAGAACATGCTCGAGCCGTGATACATTTTGCATTGAAGAATTCGTTATCGAAGAAATACCATTTACATTAATCAACCGATATTATTCATTATCAGATGTTTATCGTTGTTATCGAAAAATAATAAAAATCGATACGTTTTTCTTTGTAAGTAGAGAAGAATGATCACTGCCTAATTTTCATTTCGAATTTCCCTTAACAAGTAACCGCATCACGTGTAAATTTTAATAGATTCTTTTCTATGTATATATAGATATATATATATAATATACGTAAATATGGGTATAACACAGCATCGCACGTAACAAAGGAAGACAAAAGACTGGCGAAAACGAATCCACGTTTGCCCGCAGAAATGAGCACGCCGAAGAATTTCGTCTGTTCGATTAAAAATAACGAGAATCTTTTTTTCTGCGTAGGTCGCCGCAAGGATTCGTGGCAATAACGTATTTTTGACAATAAGGTCATTTACACATGACTCGATGACGTTCAGTCAAAGGAGAAGCGCTTCTTTTTTTTCTCTTTCCACACCTATTTGTTTTAAACGCGTCTTCCGAAGGTGTTTGCGTTGCGCCAACTTTGAACAGATAAAAATAGTCACTCGCACAGTGCAAAATAATGTCTATGTTACAAAAACTGTACCGAATCGAGCAAATAGTTGCATCATGATATACGCGTCATTTTTTTAATCATTTGTTGCACGTGCGATGCTGATGTTTATAAAAGTCTAATTTAAAGAAACTGGAACTAAATATAATTTCATATTCTCGGTTGACGATTGATTAATAAATTTCATTAGAACTTTTCAATTGTAGCATTAAAGGATCAACAAATAGTTATCGCATGTAACATCGACGTTTAAATTGATCGAAAATAGAAAAAAATATATTAAGTGCAATGTTTACGAATATAGTCAACATTAGTGCATAATTAAAAATTTTCTTTGAAACTAGGTATTATAAAAGAAGATTAATCTTAGATTTCAGCTGTTACTACTATTCGTGTAGAACATGAAAACAAATGAGTA